CTCTCTCTCTCTCTCTCTCTCTCTCTCTCTCTCTCTCTCTCTCTCTCTCTCTCTCTCTCTCTCTCTCTCTCTCTCTCTCTCTCTCAGAGAGAGAGTCAGCTTGATGAAACCAAGATGATTGCGCGTCTTCACCTGAACACGCTCATGGACGGCCCAATTCCTCTCCGCCGGAGAGGCGCACGTCCATGTGTGCGACAAGCGAATGGCGATGCTCAGAAGGAGAGGGACCCCGTCCCCGTGCTGAGCCCACCACTGCCCCACCTGTAACGTCTCCTTCTCCCCTTCGCAGGCGGCCGCATCCCTGTCTCCCTCGACCCCTCCATACGTCCAATCGGCCTCCCGAGAATGAAACTCCGCCAGCTGCGTGCGCAACGTCTGATACAAATTCTCGTCACCACCAGTCTGCTGGCGAAGGTATTCCAACGACTCGTCTGCCAGTATCCGCTCGTGGTCGGTACGCCTCGCCGCTCCAAAAAAAGTAATGCTCCTCTGCCGCGGATTGAGGAGGTGGGCCATGTAATGTGCGGGCTCCAACAAATGAGCGACCCGCGCCCGACAAGCCTGAACAACGATGTGGAGCTCGTCCTTCGACGTCCTGTTAAGGCTTGCYCTCGCCACCCTGTCGACCATGACAAAACCCCACGACCACATGCGAGTCATCACGCGACCCCCCCTGTCCAGACGCCGTAGCAACTGCATCACAGGCGTCATGAGCGCCACGATGTCCTCCACGTGCTCCCAGAATGGCGCGTACCACACCTGATGACGCACCCATCTGGCCTACAGAAAAATGGACCTCCTCCATGCAGTCCGCGGCCAATCGTCGCTCATCATCAACGCCTCCAACACTCTGCGACGATCCAGCAGCCTCTCCAGCATCGAGTAGTGGGTGGCAAACCTCGTCTGCACAGGGTACACAAGCTCCCTGCCTTGCCGCTGAGACGAGGGTGGCGCAGAGCTCGAACCACCAGCCGTCGCGGAGGCGGAAGAGGGGTGGGCGGCAGAGAACCGTCGATAAAGGCTCAGAGCCGCCCTGTGCTCTCTGATGAAACGCACGACAGCTCGAGCCCTGATGATGGTGTCCTCCCTCTTCCCGAGGATCCCGTCGCGCCCATCCTTTGCGATGTCTAACAACAACAAGTTGCAGACATGGACCGCACACGGAAGCTAAGTGATGCGGATGTACTTGACTTCCTCCAGGGTGAGGAGCTTGGACGCAGCAACATACGCAGACGCGGAATCAGTACAAATGGCGTTCACCTTGTCGACACCAAACTTGTCGAACACGTCCTTCCATCGCTCCACTACGGCCTCTGCTGTCTCCTGAACAGCACCATCCCGCTGCACAGTCCTGAAAAGGTACGCGCCCGTGGGACCAGCAGCAAGGAAGTTGACTATCTGGTCGCTCGTGATGGACTTGCGACCATCCGTGAGGATGGTCGCTCCCGTCGCCTCAATGTCCCTACGGATGGCCGCCACCATGTCCGCCACAACTCGCTGCTGCTGGAAATGACACGGTGCGTGGGTAATGCCTGATGTGCATATGGCGGACACTCGAGCAACTTCTTCCTCATCCTATGATACTCAGGCCTCCTCGCCGCCTCGAATGGGATGCCGCTCACGTACCACCACTGCAGGACGGAGTCCGAGAATTCTCGTTGCCACACTGGATCGAAGGTCTCCAGCATGGACGTCTGTCGAAGAACTCTGCTCTTTTTGGGCTCAGAAGGTGCTGATCTCACCTCAGTGGTAGTCATCTTCGCCTTCCTCTTTCTCTTCTTCGATCCCGCAACCTCCTTCATCGCCCTAGCTGCCCCCTCTTGGCCACGACGGCCATCGCCCATCAACCCCCCATCCAGAGAGGCCCCAAGGTCTGCTCCCTCATCGTCATCATCGTCGTCGGCGTCCTCGTCAGGGGTGCTGTCCTCGTCAACGGCCTTCTCCTTCCTCAACTTTCCCCTGGCTCACTCCACCTCTCGCCGCACCTCCATGTCCTCTGCATCACTCTCACCATCATCATCTCCAACCTCGACCGCCCTCCTCTCCTCCTCGCTGTCCTCAAACTCCACATTCCCCGCCGGCTCCCTCCCCGATCCACATCTGTTGTCTCGCAACCCACGAGACTTCAGAAAGTCCATGATCTTCCGTGCATGGCTTGGATCGAACCCGTACTTTGTCTTGTTCCATATCTCCGCCATCTGCTCCACGAAGATTTTGGGGCAATTGTTCTTGATCGTGAAGTGCTGTGCGGCTTTCGTCTGGCTCCCCTGAAAACCCTGACCACACAGCTTGCACTCCATGAGGAAATTGCCATTCGAATTCGGCATCGTCTGCCCCTTCGTAACCCACTTAAAGCCGCAAAACTTCCGCTCCGCCTCCCTCTGCTTGTCTTTACTGACCGGAACGAATGGCTGATCTCCCCTCCCTTTCTTGGACGCCATTGTTGCCTTGCAGGTAGCCCACCACCCACAGATGTCAGAGCGGAGCTTAGTGGACAGCGCCAAAGCCCATCCTACCCGGGCCTTTCCCCCTTCCCCCCCCCCCTGACCACCCCCCACCACCCCCCGAAACGGGCCCAGCACTCGAAAACCCTGGAGGCGAGCACGGCCCGACCACCGGCGCGTTTAGGCGTACGGGCCGTACGTATGGAATGCTGCGTACGTACGCGCGTACGCGCCATACGTACGGGTGCCTCCGTACGTACGGGCGTGTGTGCGTGGCGTCCGCCGCCGTTACGCAGCGAGCCCTCCCGGACTGTGTGTCCGAAAATGGATTCAACGCGGGTTCCCCGTTGAAAAATTGAACGCGCGTTGAATTCACGTTCAATTCCCGTTCAAATGTGCGTTGGACGCGAATGAACGGGGCCTGCAATGATTTTTTTTCTGGGCTAAATATAATCCAAAAATAAAAATAAAAAAAAATGGTTGTAGGTCTTTTTGAGGACTACAACCCTATATTTTTATTTTTATTTTTTGATGTTTGAATATATTTTTAAAAAATAAAAAACATAAACACAATAAAAAAAAACAAAAACAGAAAGTGAAATGAGTTTTTTTTTTTTTTGGGTTTCACAGAGATTTTTTAAGGGCTAAAAAAAAAACAAAAAAAACAAATAAAAAATACAGGGTTGTAGATCTTTCAAAGATGCACAACAACATTTTTTTTGTTTTGTTTTGTTTTTTACTTCGTGTATTTAAAAAAAAATGAAAACCATAAAAAGAAAAAGAAAAAGGAAAAAAAGGCACGCACTCATGCACAGACACAGACACAGACACAGACACAGAGACACGCACACAACACACACAAACACATAAATACACACACACAGACACACAACACACACAAACACACATAAACACACACACACACACACACACACACACACATACACACACACACACACACACACCCCTCAGCCCTGGCCAATCTGGGGTGTGGCCGAGACATCTCGGCCATGGCCAGTCTGGGGTGTGGCCGAGACATCTCGGTCGTGGCCCAACCATGGGGCTGTTTTTTTTTTTTTTTTTTTTCCAGTCGCGGTGCGACACGGCGCGTTGCGGCTCGTGACCAAGAAAAATGGCCAGTCACTGCACCTCCCCCTACCCCCCCCCAACCCCACATGGCGGTGTCTAATGGCCAATATTGTCGCTGCATAGCAGCCAACAACATCAGCCAAGGTCCTGCCAATGCTGGCTTGGGGGGCCAACGGGTTATCTCTAGCTGGTAGAACACCAAGCTTGCCCAGGCACATCGTCAGGCCAATGGGGATGGAACCCACGTCCTACTGAATGCAACTTTTGTGCCTTACCAACTGAGCTAGGCCTTTGTATTTTGTGCATGTGGTGAGCAGAGGCCCTCAGGGCTACCACTGCAAATGTGCAGAATTAGAACGAATCTTCTGATAGAACGTGGAATAATGCGCCACCATATGTTCTGTCTTTTGTGCATTTGGTGAGTAGAGGCCCTTAGGGCCACTGCACGTATTCCTAAGAAAAGAAAAACGAGAAAAAACAGATGAAAAATGAAAAAACAAAAGAAAAACGGGAAAACAAAAGAAAAACGAGAAACAAAAAAAAACAACGAGAAAACAGAGAATTCGTGACCCATAACTGTGGTGCACAGAGTGCCACAGACCTGAATTCGAATCCAGACTATGTATTCTCTGCCCACCCAGGCAGTTTCCAAGTCTAACGTCCCTCTCTTAGGCTCTCTGCTCCACGAGGGGTCCTTGTTAATGTGTAGGGGCCCTTCGGAAATGAGACTGGACGAGTAGATTGGAGCATTTGTGAAAAAAAAAAAAAAAAAAAAAAAA